AGGTGGTGGTCTGCCCAGGTCTAACCTGGTGTTTTTAGACAGAGACTCACTAAAGGTGATGTATGCCCATGGGCCTCTTGCCTAGCCTCAATGGATCCCTTCCCCCTGGAACGAAAAGTTAAAGAAACAAAAACAAGGTAGTTAGTCCGAATTAGATGTACTAATAAATATACACACAAAAGCCCAAACCAATGTCGGAACAGAAGCAGCACCAAGCTCCGCAGAGAGAGACCCCACTGCCTGAAGACTGTGGCCTTTTATGAGCTCCTGCCAGGTGCAGCCACTGACGAGAGGGGGCCCGGGATAGAGCGTCAGCAACCACGTTTGCAGACCCCTTTACGTGTGATATCGCCAAGTTGTACCGCTGGAGGCGGCGGTTCTGGTTATACATTTGCCTGAGAAAGGTTAAAGGGTTATGGTCTGTGAAGACCACAACAGGGACGTTACTGGAGCCAACGTAGACTTCAAAGAACTGAAGTGCCTGAAGCAAGGCAAGTGTCTCTTGCTCAATTGTCAAATACCGTTTTTTTACACGGGCTGAATTTTCTGTAAAAGAAGCTAATTGGACGATCCACACCATCGTCGCCCTCTTGTAGCAGGACTGCACCCGCCCCCACCATGCAGGCATCCACTTCCAGTTTAAACGGTTTGTCGAAGTCGGGGGCAGACCGGAGCGTTGCATAGCAATGCTCTCGCCGACTCAAAGATGTCAAGGGGGATACTACAGTTAAGAAATTCCTGCAGTATGTTCGGTAGTATCCCACCATTCCCAGAAATAATCAGGGTGTTACTTTCGTCTCCCAGGAGGACACCATAAAACTGGGCTGACAAGTATCCATGATGTTCTCCTTTATCTTTTTAGGTTGAATCTATCCCACCAGGAATTCCCCCAGCTGCATAACCCTCCCACTGGAGAGCTATCCCAGCTGCATAACCCTCCCACTGGAGAGCTGCCCCAGCTGCATAACACTCCCACTGGAGAGCTGTCCCAGCTGCATAACCCTCCCACTGGAGAGCTGTCCCAGGTGCATAACCCTCCCACTGGAGAGCTGTCCCAGCTGCTGTCCCAGCTGGGACCCACATGGCCCCTCAGAATATATGGGACCCACATGGCCCTTCAGAATATATGGGACCCACATGACCCCTCAGAATATATGGGACCCACATGGCCCTTCAGAATATATGGGACCCACATGGCCCCTCAGAATATATGGGACCCACATGGCCCTTCAGAATATATGGGACCCACATGGCCCCTCAGAATATATGGGACCCACATGGCCCCTCAGAATATATGGGACCCACATGGCCCCTCAGAATATATGGGACCCACGTGGCTTTTCAGAATATATGGGACCCACATGGCCCCTCAGAATATATGGGACCCACATGGCCCTTCAGAATATATGGGACCCACATGGCCCTTCAAAATATATGGGACCCACATGGTCCCTCAGAATATATGGGACCCACATGGCCCCTCAGAATATATGGGACCCACATGGCCCCTCAGAATATATGGGACCCACATGGCCCCTAAGAATATATGGGACCCACATGGCCCCTCAGAATATATGGGACCCACATGGCCCCTCAGAATATATGGGACCCACATGGCCCCTCAGAATATATGGGACCCACATGGCCCCCCACCCCACACCCCAATCACTTACCACAGGAAGGTTTCTCAAGCAGCAGCGGGCCAACAGATTCCCGGACGAGTCCCCACTTGTTACGTTCTGTCTCTTGTTTCACAGGGTTCCTCAAAGGGGCCAAAAAGGTTGTCAATCTAACATTACTTCTAATGATGTATGTATTCCATATAAATGACAACATCAGTCAGATACCCCCAGCATAATATCAAGTTAAATGCCAAAGAAAATTGCAGAACGTTTCAGTATTTACTGACACATTTTACTTGACATCAACTGAGCCTTTTCCAGAACTTGCCCGCCCTGGAGAGATTTAAATAATAAAAATACCATTCTCTTAACCAACAGGATAATTATGCCCGCACACAATAAACCAGAAACTGTTCTTTCTCAGTATGTTGGACCGTCTCCTGACCACGCTAGGTATACAAAACATTAATACAATGATTCTTCTTTCTTCCCAAGGCAACAGGAACTATGGAAAAGGGATACAGGAAATATGGAAAAAGGGATACATTTCAGCTATCAGAAAAATACATGGTATGCTATTGCTTGGACATTTCTGAAAATATGAACTGCAACTAAATTCTCTCTGACATGACTGAAAAGAAGACAAAACATAATGTGGATATGTTAAAGGCTGTTTTTAACATGAACATGGACAGAAACTTACACATTGTTTGCTTGCACTGCTAAAATAAGTATTTTACACATACAATTTATTGACAGGCACCCTGCATGATTATGAGTTTGACAGAATAAGCAGCTCTAACTGCTCATCTCTTAAAATGTCAAATCTGGTGAGAAAGGAGACAACAGTAAACTGAAACTCAACATGAAATTCTGCTGAGCAATAAATCAATCAAAAATATTCACATTTTGGCAAGAAAAGACGGGCCCTGTTAAAATCTGATATCCACTTTCAATTAAGTCCCAATCCACTATAAATATGTACCTAGTCTAACATTTTCACTTCTTAGTCAACTGGTATTCTGACACCCAATACTTAAAAACGTTTTATTTCAGTCTATCTTGGTGCTTACTTATCCTTCACATTTTGAGGTGATACACTGCTTACATTCCATCTGGGACTATCTCCTCTTTGTCAAATTTGACACTGACAAAGGGTGAAAACATGAAGGATTTCAATGTCTTTTGGGCATCGAACACCTATTCATCTCTTGTCACCTCAACTCACTGTTTGTGTTACTGTTGGGCTAAACTGACAGACCTGACCTTCTGTTGGTTGTCCCAAAATGAGTACTCAAGCGCAAAATACTCAGCTTTCCCCGAATATCCAGGGATTTGGGAATCAGAAGCACACAGGATATCTATTCATAAAACAATAATAAATAAAACATGTGGGAGTGGGAGCGGGGTGGTAGGCCAACGCATGTCATGTGGGTCAGAGTACAAATTAGTTCTGCAGGTAGTAAAAGCATTGAGAAATGTGTCATGTATTGGCCACCATATCGTAAATAAAAAAGGCGAGAAATAGCAGTAGCAAAAATGTCTGTGACATGCAGTGCAGGTTCACATCCTACTCTACTCCCCAGATGTGAACATCTAATGGATTTTTTTAACCTGACTTGAGAGATGCATCTATAATGATCATTGAACAGGACAGCTGCTCAACATCTTTTATCTTTAATGTCTTAGGCTTGTTAAGGCAAGACTCAGATAACTTAAACAGTCCAATGAAAACAGGCAGAGTAGGTGGCATACATTTTTTTTTGGTGGAGCTAAATGCAGTTGCTTTAGTTGCATTGTACACTTTTACCAATGTGTTGTTGTGCACTTTTACTTAAGCTACACTCCATAGAGGCCTAATTTGGAATATGGTCTGGACTGGTTTTGGGGATAAGTGTGAGCTAACTAGTGCAAGCTGCTCAATTGACAGCAGCAGGTGTACACTACATGCCTCTGCTTAGCACTGTGTTGCAAAGGAAATGCCAAAAATGGGGCTAAACATACAGCCCTGCGGCCCTCCAACGCCTTTCACCAGACTAAGAGGCATTTCAGTGCAGTTCAAGTATTGATCCAAAGTGCCTCGCTTGTAATGGTCCAGCTTTAATTAGTGTCTAAATGCCAAAAAACTACTGAGGCACATCATGTGATGATTCTCCCAGTGCGAGGCAAAGTGTGTAGAGACTGGGAGTGTAATGCTGGCAACACTGAATAGTGCGCTCTACCTGTCACTCATACACACACATGTAAACACATATTACATTTTTTAAAGGTAAAGTAACAAGACGGTCATGTAACTCACACAGTAGCTGTTGCCAGACCCTCCCCTCCTGTAGAGAAAAGCTTGCCTCCATACCCTTGCTTTCCAATTGGTTGTTCTGCCAGTAGTGCAGTAGTAACTCTCCCCCCAGATGGCTGAATGTAGTGGTTGGCTCCAGAGTGGTCAAATCTGTTCCCTATTACTTCCCATCACATTTCCTGTTTTTATGTTTGTGAGTAGGGAACACACTCTGGCATGCCAACAACAGCTATTGACGCGGGGTACACCTTGTTAGCATCCAGCGCTAACGAGATAGCTGGCTCTTATGAACAAAATGTTTCTGCATCTGTTTGATACAGACAGTCATGTGCAGCTATTTGCCTGGAGATAGTACATATATTTAAATATGTTTCATATAGCTTCTGTACAAAACCATGTGTTGAAAAAACAATTATTTATGCTCTACACATCTATAAACATTACTTTCTGTTATTACATCTGTATGGCATTCTGCTTTTATATCAGAGATGTGTTTCACTCAAATCTAGAGAAAAAGTCCACAATGTATTTAAATTAATATAACAATCAAAATGCTTTAACTTCTGTGTATAGCAAGAACATTTCTTGAAATTAAATGATAGTCCTCGAACAACACATTGCCTTCCGTAATTGCCCTTGATCCTTCATGCAAGACCAGAGATTTTTGAGCTGCGAAATTGAGAGCAAATTGTCTCCAAACAGAATAGAAATGGGAGTTGGAGGCCCTGGTGCACAACTGAGCAGGAGGACCAATACATTACAGTGTCTAGTTTGAGAAACAGATGCCTCACAGGTACTCAACTAGCATCTTCATTGAATAGGTCCCGCAAAACACAAGTTTCACTGTCAACATTGAAAAGGCAAGACAGTCTACTCCGCGTTCTAAATTATTATGCAAATTATATTTTACACTGATTTCATAAATAGTTGATAAAAATGACAGTCAGTATAATTTTCAAGTCACCAACCGTTAGGATTGAATATGATTTTGCTACGAAGGCACAGTTTTTTTTAATTTATTTAACCTTTATTTAACCAGGTAGGCCGATTGAGAACAATTTATCATTTGCAATGGTGACCTGGGGAGCAGCTGGGATTTGAACCCAGGACGTCACACACAAAGCATGCACACCACTGAGCTACCAACTGCCCCAACTCACGGTGGCCATCCACCAACCATCCACTACTCCATACATCTGGACCACCCAGGGTTGCACAGCACTCATCAGTAAACAAGACTGAAAATTAGTGAGCATTGGTTAGGGGTGGCCGAATAACAGGACATATACATTAGATATTTTTGCAGCTGGTCTCTTAGTCCGATTAATTTGTCTGGCAGTATCCTTCCTCATTCTGCTTTATTAAAACCAATAGCATAGGGATATGTTGATATTGAATGTATGCACTTTTTCAAAAATATTCACCTAGGATTTTAAGCAATTTCTGTCATTCTTATCTAAATCATATAAAAATTAGACAGTGAAACTGACACAATGAATATTTGTTCTTTCATACCAAATAAAGATTTTGAAAGTGAAAAAGCTGATGGAAGATAAGACAGCATGAAAAAAGCATCAGTCAGAACGATTGAGAATGAAGAATGCTCCAGGAATAAAAGAAGGTCTGAGAAGAAGTGAAGCTTAATCACAACCACAAATCAACTCCAAAGAAAGTAATTACATAAAATACAGTACTTATGTCAGCCTAGAGGCAGGTTTCACAGAAAAGGGAAATAAAGAAGAAATGAGAAAAGTTTGAGTTATTTCATCCATGAAGAGAATCTATTTATAAATGAATGTCAGTAATCATTTGCAGACACAAACGCTGTTTCATATAGTTTGTGCTGCTGTTATATTTTGGTCTCAACTCAATGTCTTTCTTTACTCCCTGTTTCATTTTTTTTCTTTTTCCTCTGGAGAATGAAAGCAGAAAGAAGATGTGATCAGCTGGTGCCTTCCTTGCGAGGAACATGAAAATTCCATCAGAATGATTTTAGTCGAAAAAGTGGAGTCCTATTAATCGTGTTACAGTGAGCACATAAACAAGGACAATATAGCTGAAGAGGAATTTTGTTGAAGTGCAAGTTTGTTGAAATGTGTAGATCAGGCACTGCCCCCTCAGGAAATCTATTCCCTATTTACCCACCATAGTCATGTAATCGATGCTTAGTGAGTGACTGTTCTGAGGTGATGGTGACGTGTGTGGGAAGAAGGGTTGGATAAGTGTCAGGAGAAGGGGACTCTTGGGGGAACAGGATTCTGACATCCCAAAACTGTGCGATCTGCAATTTTCATGTCCTTTCGTGTGATTGCAAAAATAGACAAAAGAAGACAGGTGCCTGCACTTGAGATTGTGGACCCAAGGAAGGGTAGCTGCTGCTTCAGACAGTAGCAATGGGGATCCTAATAAAATGTTTCGTTAGCATTACTGTCTTACTGAGACCTAATGTATGGTCTCCCAGCACTGTTGGCAGTGATTTGCATAGTACATTGTTGCTTGAGTTAAAATCCTGGGTCAGCTTTGTCATGTTCAGAAGATTTGAATCTTAACTCATTAATACAAGTAAAGTTAAGTACGCAATTACATATGACAACAGAAGTGAAATGCAGTTGTCACTTAGAAATGTCCTTGTTTTCCATAACAGAATACTTTAAATGAGATTGAATAGGAAATATAGAAAAAAGAATCGGACATAAAGTCATTGACAGGGTTAGAACTAATATCACAAGATTTTTTTGTGGAATAATTATTGTGTCCTTCAAACTTTGCTTTTATCAAAGAATCCTTCATTTGCAGCAATTACAGCCTTGCAGATGTTTGGCTTTCTAGGAAATCCAATCAAGTGCTGTCCACAGGGAATGGAATGGCATTGAAAATGGATTAATAACTTTTTACCTTCTACGAATCTCCCACTTTACCACCACCGAAGCACCACCATAGCACCCCTAGAATATGGAGGGGCATGGTGGAGGCAATGTGATATTGCATTTTTTTATTTGGTCTGCGTCTCACAAATGTTCTTTTTTGTGTTGCCAAGGCCTCTGTCATTTTCTCCAATCTTCCTATGACCAGTGTCTGTGTTCTTAACCCTAGAAGTGCTGATGCGTTGACACCCACCTCTTTCGTGGTTATGGATCATTTGACCCATGCATGTTTTGAATGGAGAATATTGCTGACACACATTGACCAGTAGATGGCACATGTTGTTCATCTTTGCATCAGAAGCACCAGGTTGTTGTAAAAATACAGTGTGTGACAAATTAAGTGAAACCAAAACGTTAACACTAGCAGCGCCAGAGCCGTTTTGACCCCATTTAGCGGCAGACACCAGCACCTGCCCGCGTCATTAGCGTACGAATCATCCAAATTAGCACCAACTAGAGGTTAATGTTTAATGAACAGCCTCGGGTTCGGGTTTGTAAGAAAAACTAAAAAGGCTATATATAGTTTGCGTGCGGTCACCGTGTGCTTTGGCTGCTTGCTGTGTGTTGTTGTGGTGACCGGCACGCGAGACGAGAGAGAGAAGTACATGCGTGCGCAGAAGTGCAATGTGCACTGCATGCCATAGGCTACACACAGACACAGGCTCTCTCGCTCTCTCGCTCAAAAAAGTAAAAATAAAATAATATATATATTATTTATTTTATCATTATATCACTTATATCACAAAACTGTTTTGCGCATCTGCTACTGCTCTCGCGCGCTATTTCAGTCACAACACAGGTTATTTGTTTACCGTTTCAAGCAATCATTAAATAAAACATATTGCAAAAATGTTTTTTGATGTATGAAACAGAGTGGACCTCGGGGTCACGTCGGCAGTGTTGTGCCTGAACGCGTTCATTGAACGATAGTTCATGAACGCGTTCATATTTTGGGCGAACGTGAACTGAACGTACTGCTTTACTGGCTGATGAACGTTCCTGTGAACTCGTTCATTCTGGTGTCTTTGAACGGCACGTTCTCTTAGTTTACCCTCGTTTAATAGGATGCCAGATTTCTGTAGTAACTTCCTTGCGCAAACCCGGCTACAACAGAGATTAATATGTATCAGAAAAAACACCCAATCTCGCACTGCCGCATCATCATTAAAATAAAAAACAAAAGTATCTATGAGCGACAAAGGAGCAAGGAGGCGTCAAATTGTACTTTTAATGAGTTTTATGACAAGGTCGGTGAGGATGGGCAAAATCAGCCGTTTTTGTGCAAAACTTTGCCGGCCGGGTTTTAAACATAAAATCCGCACATCAATATCATCCAAAGCAAACCTGAAACGGCATATTGAATTAAAGTACAATCAACGACAAAAACCAAAGACAGATCCGCGACCCAATCAACCCAGATCCCGATAACTGCCTACGGTAGCGGCTTCGTTGTCATATCCCAGCCGCAGCTGGACAACCTGTTGGTGCAGTATATTGTCGGAGACCTGCAGCCTCTGGTTTTCAATATAAACATGTTGTCAAATTATTTCAGTGATTGCCTCAGCTCACAATTGCTTTAATAGATATTACTGTGATCATTTTTGCCATGATAATCACGTTAACATTTCTTGTTCTTCATGTCTGTGGTTCTATATGCTATATGGGCTCTGGCAATAATATAAAAAAAAGAACTATAAATGAACTAGTTCAAAATTTGAACTATGAACTATGAACTGAACTAGTTCATTTTAAAATGTGTGAACTGAACTTTGAACTAGTTCATGTAGAAAGTGAACTTTCCCAACACTGCAGGTCGGGTTCGGGTCGGGTTCGGGCTTAACATGTAAATGTAACTGTCGGGTCGGGTTAAATGATTGCGGGTACGGGCCGGGTTCGGGCTTCAGTTTAAAGCCCGTGCAGACCTCTAGCACCAACATTCTCCTCCGCAGCATCACCAGCCATTCACTGTGTAACCTGCCATCCATCAACAGCATCAGATCATCTACTGTGTTATCATCCTGAATGAAATGAATTACGATAAATAATATAATAGTGTGTATTTATTGTCTTATGTAACCTTAAAATACAAAAATAAAACAATGATCTTAAAATGCACAGGTTATGGCATTTCTATTTCGTTTCACTCTAAATAAAACTGCAATTTAAAACAGATGGGGCTAATAAACATATGTCCTATTTTGATGAAGTAAATGCTAAAACTGTTTAGATCAACAAGCGAGGTGCGCAATCAAATAATTTCTGCAAGATTGGCCGTAGGCTATAGACATTATGCAAACACAGAGTCTTGAAATAACAACATTAAAGTGTATAATTATAGTTTATATCCGTTTCATTTCGATACAAAACAGTTCTTTATTGAAGACAAATATCAATACACTGATGTTTATTCGTTATCAATTATTGAGGGTAATAGGCTACATGACACATAAAATAATATGATGAATTAACATCAGTGTTAGAGGTGAAAAATCATAGAATGATATTATGCTATGTTGGTTATTTTGTTTCTCTCCAAATTAAAACTGTAGGCTAGAGTTAGTTACATAGTCATGGATAGGCTTATAGTGTGTATTTGGTATAATAATACAATAATTTAACTAGTAGGATATAATACATATTTTGATGTAATACATTTAATGAATAACATAAGACGCTGGATCAATGTCTTTGTCTGGAAAAGTATTCTGCGAAAATTAAATGAATGGGCTGTAGATGTATTTTTATGAATTTGTTCTGTTTATTTATTGAAAAATATATTTATTTATTAACTTATCTCTTTATTCTAGTTAATTTAAATTCAACCAAGCCTCTCCAATCTTTCATCTGTGTCGATCACCCATTCAACCATTGACGTCATGAGTTCAGTGAGGTGTTATCGGTATCTGGGTACTGGAATTAGCGCCTTTTGGGTACCGCAATCAATGCCCAGTGGTGTGTGATTTTGGCATCAGCAAAGCAACTTATGCATAGAAAAACAAATATTAGTAAATAGTCTCTATATAGTTTTCAGTTTGTGATTTTACAATTCTGAAAACGGAACAAGGTAAAATGCACGTATTAAGGAAAAATCATGGAAAGTCAAGGATGTACCTTTTCAAAATTGTATATTAATTTTAATTACTAACCGCAACGCCGGCGGGCGCGGGCTGTTGGCGCTCCTAGTGTTAAAGCCTCCTTGCAAATGACTATAGATGGCCTACATGTGTAC